GTGGTGGCCTCGGTACCCCGCCCCGTTCCTCACGCCCCTTCCCCCACCCGTGTGCGCGCCCCCAGCCCCTGCCGGCACAGCGCCCAGTGGTCACTCCACTGTGGCCCTCAGCCCCTCACCCTCACCACCCTGCGAAGGTCATGCCCTCCTCCCCTCGCACACCTGACGCCACTGCAGCACAGATGGCCCATGACTACCCCCTGTCTGATGTGGGGTGGGAGCACCTACAGGGGACACTGCAGGTGGCCGTTGGGATCCGGCCCCCTCCCCTCGGCCCATATGGCCTGTCATGAGTGCCCAGGGCCCCGGGAGGAGCCAGGAAGGAGGCTGGAGGGACCAGGCTCTGGGAGGGCCCTGCCCTGCCTAACCACCTGGACCCCAGCCCTGGCCCTGATTGACTCTCCCCAGGTGCCTGTGGACGTATGAGATCCAGTTCTCCCCGGGTGGTCAGGGGTATGCCCTCATCAGCAGGAAGCCCTCAACTTTTAACCTCTTTGTGTTCAGCCCAGGTGCGTCTGCCACCAATTCCTGGGCCTCAGCACCGTGCCTGTGGGGTGGGGTCCAGGGCCTTGCGAAGCCTGCCATTGGGGGGCTTGAGGAATTTGGGGTGGGTTCAGGGGTCACACCCTCAAGAACACACATATTCCTTTGTGTCCCCAGACACAGCTGTCGTCTCTGGATCCTACCAGGTCCGAGCTGTGGACTACTGGGCACGGCCAGGCCCTTTCTCAGACCCTGTGCAGTACCTGGAGGTCTCTGCTCCATGAGGGCCACTACTGTCCAGTGACTTTGAGCCTGTGCAGACCAATGGGCTAGACCAGCACCAGCTGTCAGTTGGCCATCAGCTCTGTCCATCCCCTCCTGCCCTGTCACTTGCCCCCTTAAAGTGCCTTTCCACACCATGGTCCTGGAATTGACCTTTGTGGACAGACAGTCAGACTATTCTCCCCACCCGTGGGTGCCAGGATGGGAAGCAGGCTGAGCTGCTGGGGGAGGCCAAGGTACAGCTGCCATTAGGAAGGCTGGCCCTCCCAGCTGGGGTTTCTGGTAGCACCAAGGGAACAGCAGGCCCCATTCCCACCCTGCCTTCTGCCCAAAGGGGGATCCACTTCCTGGGCCCAGAAGGAAACTGATGGCATGATCAGATGAAGACAATCTGAGGACATCTATAGCACTGTGGGCAGAGGGCAGGGAAGCCTAAGTGCTGGTACAGAACCCCAGCCCCCCAGCCCCACTGCTCCTGGGCAGACTGAGCAGGTGAGGGAGCACTTACCAGTGCAGACACAGAAAGATATGGAGAGCTCACCTGGGCAGGAACAGAGACCTTGGTCCCTGGGCCTGGAGTCCCTGTGAGTGGAGTGGAGGGTGTGGAGGCCCGATCCCGCTCCTCCCTCTCTGTACCGCCCTCTGGGTTGCCCTGAGCTTGGATGAGGGAGATGGGTCTGGAAGGGCAGACGGAAGACAGGGCCCAGTCCACCTCCAGAGTGCCCACCAAGTGTCTAAATGAAAAGCTCAGGGGCCACCAACTCCTGGTCACAGGTAGGAGATGCCAATTTGGTCTTATGTCCATCTGAACCTCAAAGCCAGCACCTATTATTCGTGTCCCTTTCCCCAGGTAGATGCCTGAGGGCTCAGGACTTGGGGGCCTTGTGTCTTTGTATCCCACAAACCATTGCCCACTGACCGTTGTGACTGCAGAAGGGTTCCTGCCCCATCATGAAGCCCTGTCTCAGTCAGCTCAGGTGGCTGTAACCAAATACCACAGTCTGGGTGGCTCAAACAACCAAAATTTATCTTCTCACAGTGGAGGCGGGAAGTCTGAGATCGAGGTGTGGGCAGACAGTTCCTTCTGAGGCTTGCAGACTGTGCCATCTCCCAGTGTGTGTCTGTGCTAACCTCTGCTTATAAGGACACCAGTCACATGGAGTAGGGCCTGCTCATGACCTTACTGTGATCACCCTTCAAAGGCCCCATCTCCAAAATAGGATCACTTCTGAGGTGCTGGAGGTTAGAACTTTAACACACCAACTCTGGGGAACACATTTCAGCTCACAGGCCCTGATGTGTGTCCCCATGGTGTCAGAATCCATCACCCCAGCAGTAGGGCAGAAGAGTCTCTCCTGCTGGTTCAGTGGTCTCAGGACCCTCAGTGGTGAGGGACCATCTCAGCTTCCAGCTCACTGGGAGGGGACTGGGTTCCCTGATGGATCAGGTCCTTCCTTGGACACCAGGACCTGCCAACGTGCTGAGTGGAGGTCCCATGGGGTAGTGGGGTGTGGTGGGTGGCCACTCCCCATCCCTTCCTTCCTAGCCCTGTGTGCTGCGGCTTTCAGCAAAACACATTCAAGTCTGTCCCTCAGCTCTGGGGTCCTGGCCCCAGCCGCTGCCACCTGTCCTGGCAAGGTGGGCCCCTCCTTTGGAGGTGACTGTGGCTGGAGGGCAGTCACCTGTGCTCCATCCCTCTGTCCCCAGGGGGTAAGTCACCATCCCCACTGTAATTGTGGCTTCCGTGTACTCAGGTAGCCACCAGGTTGCTGATATGTCCCCACCCCCTGACCACAATGACAGGTTAGCTTTGGCCTTTGCTGGTTTGGGGTTGGGCTTGGAGCTGTGTGGAGACCTGGGAAAGCCATATGATTGGCTCCTGGACAACCCCTGACTCTGCTGCCACAGCCACTTTGCACCTGGGCCCTGTTTGAGAGTGTCCCTTATAGGGGGATGCTCCTCAGATCAGTGGAGGCATTTCTGTGGGACACAGCACCCTCACTCTGTGCCTCTCCCCAGACTTCCTTACCCCAAAACATCCTATCTTGGGCTTTCTGAATCTGGCCAACTGGTCAACCTCCTGGATGCTGCCCATGGTAGAGCCACACTTGGGCCAGCTGTTACCTTGGTTCTACCCACTGAGACGTGGGTGTGTGTACACATTGCCCATAAGCCCCCTCTGCACTATTCCCTGCTCTTCCCACAGCCGGCAGGGACCTCAGCAGCCCAGGCTCGGGTGAAGGAGGGGGCACTTCAGCCGAGCCGGAGGCTCCTGTCCAATACATGAGTCACTTCTGGACAGAATGCTGTGTGCATGCGGCTCTCGCTGGGTGCTGGGGTCACAAGCCGGGTCAGACGGTTCCCAGAGCTTAGCTGCAAGCCTGAGACTTTTTCCATCGGAGGAGAGTTGATGAAGAGGACAGAGTGGGCCTGCCCCAGGTGCCTGGGGTCTGCACCAGAGGCCTTGCTCTTGGTGCTGCCACAGCTGCTTCAGGCCTCATGGGCTCCGATGGGCCAACTGCCCAAGCAGCAGGTGGCCACGTCACACCTGTACCTGCTCCAGAGGCTTTCTTGCCAACACGACCTGTTGCCCAGAGTGGGTCAGAATAGCAAGTGTGGTATCTGTGGTCCCCCAAATGCACATCCCACCGAGCACTGTGCCAGTTAGAAGTGGGTGGAGTAGGTAGAGCAACTTATCTCACTTTATTTTATTTTACTTTTCGAGACATCTCACTTTAAATAGGATATTCCAACACTTCTGACACTGCGGGATCCCCAAAACTTCCCGAGCCTCATGACCTCAGGGTGTGTCCCTCACCCCCCCGTAAGCACTCAAGTTATTTCTCGATGCCCAGCCCAGTTAGCAGGTTGGTGTCAAGGAAACCAAGCCCTCTGGGTCAGATTAAGACAGCGGGAGAGTTGGTGCTACCCAGGCCAACCCTGGAAATGCGTGGACGTCCCTCTCACGCGGTCGGTCTCAATGTGCTTCTGATTCCCTCCTGACCGGACAGGAAAGAAAGCATTTACAGGTCGGCTGCATGTCAAGCACCATGACTGCAGTTTCCTACAGTAAAGATGTTATACCCGGGCCTGGCCAATGTGGCTCAGTTGGTTGAGCATCGCCCTGCGCAGCGAGAGGCCCAGGGTTCGATTCCATGCCTGGGTTGCAGGCTCCTCGATCCCCAGCAGGGGGCGTGCAGGAGGCAGCCGGTCAATGACTGTCTCGAGTTTCTCTCCCTCTCCCTTCCTCTGTTTCTAAAATGGATAATAAAAACATATATATATATATATAAAGATGCCACACCCAGGCCTCAGCCGTGCGTGAGTGGTGTCACCATGGGCCGCGTCAGGGTCACCTGTCATTCAGCAGCAGCCTGTCGGGTTAAGCAGCACGGGGGGACACCCCCCCACTCCTCCCATGCGCCGGCTGTGGGAACTAACGATGTGAGGCTTCCCCACAGAGGGGCTGGCGGGGGCTTCCCAGGCAGCCCCCCCTCTCCAGGTGAGGGCCTTGCAGGGATGCAGCCTCCGGTTAGGTGTGATGTTGCCCCATGGACAGCAGTGACGATTGTCAGGCTCAGAGCCAGTACACAGTGACCCACGAAGTCGGTCTTTCCCTCACCATGGTCAGTCGCCTGAAGATGGTCACAGGTGCCCCTTCCACATCTGGGGACGTGCCAGCGACTACAGTGTGGGCTCCACTTAGGGATCCGCCCCCCCATCACGGGCTCTGGGTCCATGAACCGGCTTAGGTCGGGACCAGACCCAGGCCCTGTGAGGAGTGTCGGAGCTGCCCAGCAGCCTCGCAGCCTGTACCCGCTTCCTGCAGCTCTCGGGAGCTGCCACGTGCTTCGTTTCCCCGGACCCTGCGTGCCGTCGGCGGTCATCTCACATTCGACAAGGACCCCTGAGGGCCCATTGCCTCAGAAACGCCATGTGTGGGAGTCGCCTGGGTCGTGTTAAGACGTGTGTCTGATCGGGCCAGGTGCCACTGGCCCCAGGAGCATTTGTGGGGACATAGCTACAGGCCAGGGTGAGGCCAGTGCCCAGTCTGCTGACCTTGTGCTTTGTGCCCGGGGCTCCAGCTGGCACAGCAGACCCAGTGTGGGTGGCTGCAGCCCACACCTGCATGTTGGGTGGTGGCTGAGTCCCTGGGGTGCCGCCCAGGCCCCTGCCAGCACCACCAGCAGGGTGGGGCCCCATCAAGGCCGCACGGGGGTCCCATCTCCTTTTGTCTCTGGAGGCAGAGGAGTGGCCCAGGTGCAGACCCCTGCCCGCCTGTCCCCACGTCCCTGCTGTCCCTCAGGGTGCCCTTCCCTGGTCTTGTAAACTGCTCCTCGGGCAACAAGGGTCTCCGCCAGGCCCAGCGTGAAGACCCAGCCCTGCGGCCACAGAGGCTCCTCCCCCACGTGTCCTCGGCAATCTCCCCTTTCAGGGGAGAAGGGGGGACGCCCAGGCTTCACAAGCACCGCTGCTGCCATGGCAACCAGCCCCTGCCTTTTACCTTCAGGCTGCCAGCTCCTGGGTTACTTGAGTAACCCGGACGCCATTTCCCCTTGGCAAGGCCGCCAGGTGCCAGAACCCTTGTGGAGGGCCAGGGCCCTGACAGAAAGGACGCCCACGCCCCAGCAGGAGCTTCGGCGCAGGGAGTAGTCCCAGAGCTGGGTCAGGGAGCCTCCCAGGGGCAGGGGCAGCAAGGTGGGCACCACCCCTCCCGGGAGTGAAGGGGGAAAGGAGGCTGCCCGCAGGCCTGATACGCTGACCCCGCCCGGATTCCCTCCACGGTGTGCGTAGAGCAAACCCAAGTGGAAGCCACAGGTGGAGGAGTCAGATGCCACCCTACCCTTGGGAGTGACCTGGGCTCTCCTCGGGGCCCCGGGGGGCAGGGGGGCTGCACAGGAAGAGGACCATCCTGAGCACGTGGCCCGTAGCCCAGGGGGGGCACTGGGTCAGCTTAGGCAGCGGAGGGTGTGGCTGGAATCCAGCCCCCGGCATGATGGAACCTCCTGAGTACACACCCCCCAGGCTGAGGGAGGCTTGGGCGCAGCTGCCGGGGTTCGTGCGGCCCTACTGTCCCCCTGGACGTTCCCAAGCAGGATGACACCTGACCTACCCCCCTCTCCCCGCCCAAACCACTGC